ATTGCTAGAATATGCTTTACAGAAAATTTGCTTAATGCACTACTTTTAAAAAAAATATCTATCACATTAACCAAGGACTACTAGTAATTATAATTTTTTCAATACCCAATCTTACTGCTGCTAATTTTATTTTTACCAGAAGTTTAGTATAAAATTTTCAAAAAATATAACCAAGTTAAATTTTTAATTTATTAATTTAATGATGAAATATAAGGTATCTGAAAAAGAGCTGACAGATTACAAGAAATATTATGTATTTAGGGAAAACAGATCAACACACATGGCTTTCAACAATATCGGCAAAATGTAAAAAGTTTTTCCTGCATTATAAAAACACAGAATGCTACTGTTTCTGCAGGTAGAAGTTTTGGATAAAGCTTTTCCTAGCCAATATATGAAGAGAGAAGGACCATTTCAGTTTCCATCTCTCTCCTGACATAACCCCATTGAACCTTTTTTATGGGGTTTTTGAAGGATCTGGTTTATGAAACATGTGTTACAAACAATGAAACATTAAAAGGTCACGTAATAACTGCAGTCAGAACTGTCACTCAAGACACGTTATGCGACGCCTGAAGAGTAAGTATTATCTCTTCAGAAATCTTAAGAAATCTTTAAGATATCAAGATTTCTTAAAGATGAAAAACCTTTTTGAATCTGCTCATTAATTAGAACAAACTTTGTAGTCGTATCTGTCTTCCTAAAATAAATTTTTGAGTTTCTACAATTTATCAGATCTTTTTCAGACACCCTTTAATATTGAATTTATTTTTAGAAGTAGCATTTAAAAAATTAAAATGATTTAATTTAATGTCATAAATTTGTCATTAACAAAAGTTGGCATATCTTAAAATTTGAAAAATACTGTAACAAACTCACGAGGCTGACCGCCCATTTCTACATCAAAGAAACATCTCGGCCTGTAATTTTTTTCAACAATCATCATTACCTAGAAATACACACAAAATTAATTTCTGACAATGATTAATTTAATTAATTTATTTAATGTGTTAATCAACTATATATAAAATCAATTTAAATAAAAAGTTTATCTTAAATCAATGTAACTTTGTAATTGTTTTTATTTTTGTTCTATTATTATTACAGTAGAGCCTCGATTATCCGACTCAATTGAAGACTGGGGTTGGTCAGATAATTGAAAAGTCGGATAACCAAAAAGTATGAAAAAATCCATTATTAGTGTAGTATATTATTATNTCTAATCTTCAGACCATTGAAAGAATGTAGAACAGCTACTTTTCCTAAATCTGCACATTATAATTTATTTAAAAAATTTTTTAAACCATTTTTTGCTTATTTTCATGAATCTCGATGATGATATCCAACCTTCATATATCATTAATAAAATGCTAATTTTGTTTATAATAGCGTACTTCTTATTGATGTTGAAAAATGAATAATTCAAAAATATATTTTGACAATAAATATATATTCTTCAAATATTCATACACTTTTTAAAACTTACTCATGTAAGAAATAAAAAATAATAATATGCCTAATACTTTCTTTGTCCAATGTGTATACATTATTCCTGTATACTAGAAAGACCAGATGATTTGACACTGTTTTCCTAAGAAGAATATAAAATACTTTTTGATTAAAAATTTAAACTAGAAGATGAGAGATCATTTGATCTATACTATTGATGTCTTAATCATAAAAATTACTTAAAATGAAGAATTCAAAAATTATATGTAAGAAGACTTTCATTATTTTGTAACAGTATCGATTTTTACATCTGTTACCATGAATACAGCAAGTTTTAACTTCTCCATAACAGATAATCTGTCTTTATTCCCTAAGATTGATGATTTTGTCAAATATTATTTTTATAAATTCAGATTCAGCAATTCTTTGGAGTGGATAGGAAAAAATTAAATCTTTAGTGAAAATAACCTCTAACTGCAATTTAGCATTTTGTACAATTGTGAATGTAAACAGCAAACTGCCACAGTATTAGAAATACCTTTGACTTTGCCACCAATGGAAATCATAAATATTTTTTTATCACATTACTTTTGTACATATATGAGGGGAGACTCAAAAAAAAAAAAAAAAGGATTTTTGTATAAAAACTTTATTTATTAACTTTTTTACAAAAATTCAGTCATCTTCAAAGTGCTCTCCATTAGATGCGATGCACTTGTGAAGTCTTTTTCCCCACTGTTTGAGGTATCTCTGGAAATCTTCAACCTTGATATCATCCAGTGCCTTTAGCGAAGCTGTTTTTATTGCCTCCACATCATCAAAACACTTCCCTTTTAGATTTTTCTTTATTCTCGGAAACAGTAAAAAAAGGGTTGGTGTTTTTTTACTGTTTCCACAGTAAAAAACTGTGTAAACAGTAAAAAAAGTCGCATGGGGCTAGGTCTGGTGAATACGGAAGGTGGGGAATGACAGGCCAAATAGTGGGTCACTCGTAAGGCTGTGTGTGTGGGGGCGTTGTTGTGATGAAGGAACCAGTCACCTGATCGCCAAAGTTCTGGGCGTTTCCTTCACACATCCTCTTGCAGACGTCTTAACACTTTTTTGCCAGATTTTTTCAATGTTTTCATCATTTTGAGATGTTGAAGGACGCCCAGAACTTTGCAGGTGGAACAAAATAACAATAAGAGAAACACAACACTAAACCCAACATAAACCTAAAACTGATGTCATTTGCACAGCTGTTTCGTGAAGGTCTCTAATAACCCCATGTAACGGGAAAACTCTCTACTACGTCTATGAATGGCAGCGTGCTCTCAGTTCAGTTTTTTTGGGTGCCCCCTCGTATTACTGTACAATAACGTTTTTAAATATTTTGGTAATTGTATTTTAAGATATTTGGTTTCCTCTGTAATTCTATGTATTCTATCTATTGTCTTTTAGCAACTGTCATCTGACAAATTTTTATGATTTCAATACATTTATTGGTAATATATGATTACTACAGCAATATGGATGAAGCACTAGTTTTAAATGTTTCATGTTGCATAAAGTTTCTAAAATTAAAACATGTACAATGGAGGAAAAGTTAGCAGCAATTAAATAGGTGAAGAAGCTAGAAAACTGAGCTGCAGCTAAAAGGTTGGGTAGGGATGAAAATAGAATTTGAGAATAAAAAAAATGAGTGTCTTGTTGTTGGGATTTTCAATCCAAGAGAACATTTTTGTTTGACTGCTGTCCTGGCATTGTAGTTCTAAAACAGTGCCAGACATTAATAGAACTAGAAGAAAAATTTATTGTAAGTCAGTCATCAGCTATTCAGACAATGACTGGATGAATGAAGATCTTACCATAAACTACCTGCTTCAAGTGATTGGAAAATTCAGCTTAATAGACAACTGCTCATTTGGAACATTACAGATTCACATTATGTTAATAGTAAAAGAACAACTTAAATTATCAATTGATTATATCAGATCAGTTTATAATGTTAAAGTAAATACTCAATATGGCAACTTTATTAAATTAAAAAATGTTTTACTTCTGAATGTTTTTAACAATATATAAATGTGTCATCTTCAGGCTGAAGATGACAAACTTGTATATTCAAAAAATGTTTTACTTCTGAATGTTTTTAACAATATATAAATGTGTCATCTTCAGGATGAAGATGACAAACTTGTATATTCAAAAATTTTACCTCTTCTGTACTTTTTTTTTTGTGTGTCATTCTTTGGTTTGGCAACCTGAAAACATAATAATGAGGTTTTAACATGTTGAAATGATGGGTTTAAAAGCATTTCACAAGTTGCTCATTTCACAGTTTTTAGCTCATCACTAGGAATGTCATTTCTTGCCCCTATGGACAAAACACACATATTTTTATAAAATTTTAAAATTAAATGTTTTCATTAAATTTTTAATTAATGTCTTTTTAATTTACTCAAAGTTCAGTGCTAATAATTAAGTAAATAGATCTGTTTTATTTATTTGTTTTTAATATTACATTATTAGATTTTATTCAATAGCATAAAGAATTGAAGTTTAATGGAAATAATTTGTTATATTTGAATTATGAATGTTCACAGCTTTAAACATAATATCTTAGGAATAGTATTGATTTTCAAAGTTTTTATTATAAATGTAGGAGAACAGTAGAATGACTCAAAAGTTATTTGTAGAATGTTTAGAATTTATAGAATTATAATTTGAAGAAAGAGAAAAACTAATGGATAGACAATATTTTTTTATTTGTAAGTTATCCTAAAAGGACATGGCCTTCAATGAGGTATAAATGTTAACATATGTGAATTATTAAGTAAAACTTGACTTTTATTTATAGAAGGAAAACAAACATAAATAGCCTAAATAAAAGAAATAATTAATATTGGAGAAATTTTAAAATATATATACACAAGTAAGAAATAAAAATTAACACATTTTAAAATTTTCTGTTTGTGCCAAGCAGGAGCAACTGGTTTTAGAGACACTTTATTGTCTCCTGTCCTCTATTTCAAATTCTAACTGAACAATCAAATGCTCTTCTTTCATAAAAATGAACAAGAATAATGCAAAAAGGTTAGGTTTAAAATTTTCCAGGAAATTTCAGACAAATTGAGAAAAACTAATCAAAATATATCTTTAGTGAGAAAATATGTGCATTTATTTGGAATTACATATTTGAAACAGACAGTTTTTCTTTTTTTTCTAACATCCTGTATATGATGCAAGANCAATATTTTTTTATTTGTAAGTTATCCTAAAAGGACATGGCCTTCAATGAGGTATAAATGTTAACATATGTGAATTATTAAGTAAAACTTGACTTCTTTTATTTATAGAAGGAAAACAAACATAAATAGCCTAAATAAAAGAAATAATTAATATTGGAGAAATTTTAAAATATATATACACAAGTAAGAAATAAAAATTAACACATTTTAAAATTTTCTGTTTGTGCCAAGCAGGAGCAACTGGTTTTAGAGACACTTTATTGTCTCCTGTCCTCTATTTCAAATTCTAACTGAACAATCAAATGCTCTTCTTTCATAAAAATGAACAAGAATAATGCAAAAAGGTTAGGTTTAAAATTTTCCAGGAAATTTCAGACAAATTGAGAAAAACTAATCAAAATATATCTTTAGTGAGAAAATATGTGCATTTATTTGGAATTACATATTTGACACAGACAGTTTTTCTTTTTTTTCTAACATCCTGTATATGATGCAAGAAATTTGACAATTTTTCTTAATAAGGGCTTAAAACAATTAACCCAGCCTGCTTCATTCAACCTACTAGCTTGGAATGTTTTTTCTTTTACACAATATATTATAATGGGATAGCTTTTTTGTTCTGCTTGTAATATCTGTTCTAAAAATCACTCATCCATCTGGTTTCTTTTATTGTTTGATAATTTACTTGTGTTTACCTTTGAAATTTTAACAGATTAACTTTGGTGCATTTTGCTCTGGAACCAAATTTATTTTCAATTAAGCTTTGATGTCATGTGCAACTGCTACCTTCCTGTGAAAATTTGGCAAATTATTTTCTTTTGCATTTAAAACTAGCTTTGCCAAACTGGCATTCATCAAAACTAGAATTGAATTGACTAATCTGTAAAATCCAAACCCAATATTCATCAAATAATTTTTTGATCTGCTTAGTCCAAACTAGAATGGACTAATAAAAACTCAAAAACAGTCATTTTTAGTTTTGCCTAGTCAATTCTAGAATGGCCTTTCCTTAGGTTTTACTGTTATAAGAATTTTATTTATATACAGTATACTATATACTGTACATAATCTACATAAAAACAACTAAATCCAACTTCTGATCATTGTTGGTAATTGTTTTCTACAAGGTGCATTGGCAAGTTGAGATTTATTGTAGGAAAATAAATCTTTTTTTTATAATTAATACAGAGTATTTCAAATTAGCATGTTTCTAGGAAAAATTTTTGTTGCTAACTATATACCAAGTATTTAGAAAAATTATATTTAAATTTGAATTTTTAATGTTAAAAAATTTAAATAGTGTAAAAAATATACTTTATTTTATTAAATTAATACATTTTACTGTATTTTAATTTTGTTACAATATTTTAAATTTAGCTGTGGTTTTAGAGTTTTATACACCATTTATTTATTTATTTTTTTCTTATGTAGGTTTGATTTGCAACCAGCAAAATTAACGTGTTTAGTGAATTCTCCAAAATTATCTATAAATGAATCGCCACGTCTTAAACCTCCACCAAGTGTAATAAATTTTGAACGGAAAACGATTAAACTATCATGTAAAAATGATGGTAAAAATGAGATTACTTTGCCAAAATCTAGTAGTTTACAATTAACAGATCAAGAGGGGGGTCGTAAAATTATCAAGATATCTTGTAAAAGGGATTTTGTTGGAAACGATGTTACTTTGCCAAAATCTAATAATTTACAGACAGCTGAACAAGAAAGTGGTCGTAAAATTATCAGAATGATAAATGATACACTTCAATCAAATGCAAAATTATCAAACAACAAAAAAGAATTTGTTTTAAAGAATTCGGCAAAAATTGTCTCTCTCAAAAATCAACGTGCTTTATCTGGAAGCAACAATTTATCCAATACAAAAGTAAGTAAATGACTTATTTTGATATTTATAACAGATGTTTATATAGAGGCTTAATTAATTTATTAATTTTTAATTTTGTATGTAACAAAATATTTTAAAAATTGGACAAAAAATCATATAATTCAATTTTTCCTCATTTACTTTAAGATAAAATGTAATTTTTGAGGCAATATGAGTTCAAAACAAGAGTCATTCTCAGATTCTTGATTCATCAGTTGTAATAAATCACTATCTAACTTAGCATTTTCTGAAGTATAGTCTACAATCCAGTAATGGTCTGTATATACAAAAAGAAAAAAAAATTCTTAAAATTGAATGCAAAATAGTGAAAAAGTGATAAATTTCTAGTAAAAAATATATTTGATGTTTTTAAGTCAAATTATTATTATTATTACAAACAATAAAATCTGAATAAAAATTTGAAAAAAATTTCATTGCATGTAGTGCATGAAAGAGCCTTTAGATAAAAGTCAATCTGCTTTGAGAATGTATTCCTATGGCATGAAAATGATGAAATGTGAAGACAATAAAGATTGTTTTTTGTTTTAACCTTGCATAGAGGCGATATCAAAGCTAATGAGATTATAACTAAGGTGTGGTTATTGCTAATTGGAAACTATATCTAATTCCCTGCCTCTTTAATTTTTGTGTTGTCTTTTTATTAGAGAATATTATTTGAGTGAAATGTTACATAAAAATTAAGAACTTGGTAGGAATCTAGATGTATTGGAAATTATTAATATATTCAAGATTGTAAAATTACTGAAAACGAATTGCTTCTATTTGGAAAAGTGTATGAAAACTGATTTACTTCAGAATAATCCATAGAGTTCTATTAATAGTCATATTAGATGCAGAAAATATTCATTGATTAACAAATGCTTTAATCCAATTTTACAGTTTAGACTGTTGAAGATTTATTCATTTTTAAGACAGCTAAACAGAATAAAAATTAAAATTCACTGTTTAAAATTTTAGATGTTAGAAAATTAATTAATTAATAATAAATAAACATTTTGTTTCTAGTTTCTGTCAATATTCAAAGTATAAATGCTATTCTTTTGCTATTTGTTTTTTAAACAATAAAGCAGTTGCATTTATAGTCTGCATTTGTATTTAATGCTATTTATATTAACTTACTCACAAAGATTGGGTCAGACATTTGGATCTCCAATTTGAACAAAACATGGTACGCAAGTAACCTTGAACACAAACAGCTCTTTGCCCAAATAATAGGACCCAATTCTCAAGTGCTTCTAAAAATTGGACCTTTGAAAATTGAGTGTTTAGCTTATAAATGTTTGGTTTAGCTTATAAAATAGTAATAGTAATGCTAATGATATAGTAAAATAATAAAATAATTTTGTTACACATATACAACTCTTGTTGCTAGATTTTTTAAACTGGCTGTTATGAGTTTTTATTAAAAAAACCTTTCGTATTATTAAGCAAAAATAAAATTGTGTGTGGCACCATCTGTTATCAGATTTTGTTATAAAAGTTTTTTATATTTTTAATTACTATAATATTTTAAAAAGCTTAATTTTGAAGATAGGAGTGAGTTTTATAAAACAGTGTAAATGTTAATAATGAATAAAATCTTCAATAACTCCTACTTCTCTCAAGATACGTGACCCCTATCTCTCCACCCTCTTGACCTTTCACCACCAAAATTTAACAGCATCAATGCCCTCATACAAAAGCCACCATTAATCTTTACCTCATTCTGAGGTATTAAGTGAAATAGATTCCAACACACATACACACATCCACAGAATTGTTTTGCTGATTTTTCTTACTTTTCTGGATTCAGGAGGTCTCAAAATGTGGAGATTTTCAAAAAACTTGAGGGATTAAATTTGACATGATTTCCATACTTTCCCTTGTTATGTATACATATCAGCTGGGAAAGTAAAAACTAAAGTAAATTCCAAAGATTCAAACCTACATTGTCTAGCTATAATACCTAATGTCTTATCCACTTGGCTATTGCCACTCTGTGGTGTGAAACTTCCAAAGACTTATAAGCTAAACACACAATTTTCAGACACCTGTTTTTTGGAAATGCTTGTGAAGTCTTATTGAGGGTCCTATTATTTGGAGAAGAAGCTGTTTGTATTTAGGGCTACATGCTCATCAGGTTTTGTTCAAATCAGATACCCTAATGTCTGACCCTCATCAGTAGCTAGATTACTCAAAATCATTATAAAAGGACATACTGTACAAAGGCTGATCAAAATTGACACAGAATTTTGTTTGTAAGATAAGAAATTTACTCACAAGGATGAAACTATGTATATTTGCCAAACTATGCTCCAGCTGAACATACACATAAACATTTGTTCCACAGTCTTGGTAATGATTGTATTCCCTTGGCAAAAACATTTGGGAACATTGCTGCAGCCACTGTTACACAGCAGCTTCAACTTCTTTGTTAGTGCTGAATTTCTGGTCACTGAAATGATCTTTTATGAATCTAAACATGTGATATCACATGGTGAAAAATTTGGACTGTATGATGGGTGATTCAGAATTTCTCAACCAAGAGATGTCAGTGTTTTGACACTGTGTAATGCTAACATAGTAATGGTAATGCTCACATTGTTATGAAGCAGAATGATTCCAGACCTTCTTGTGTTACTTATTCTTCAGGGCAGGTTTAACTATGATTTCCAGCAAATTATAGTCAATATTCTATATTACTCCAATCATATTTTCCATGTTTGGACCCATGAAAGAGCATTTGAGTAGCCAGAAATTCAGCACTAATGTAGGTTGAAGTAGCAGTGTGATAGTGACTGGCAATGTCATCAAACTTTTTTACCAAGAGAATACAGTTACAGAAAAATATAATAAAGTATAAATTCTAACGAATTAAGATAATATTTGCTGTATTATTATAATAAGCCACCTTTTAACTTTCTATAATCATACAAAAAGAAACAAGAATTTTCACTATAGAGTTATTGCTTGAAATTAGGATCTTTTGAAATGACTAATTCCATATCAGAACTTGCAATATATAAAAATTTGATTGATTGATCATTTCAGAAAACATTAACATGCATGAAAACAGTCTCCATTATTACGATAAACATTATAATTATATCAAAGCTTTATTTTGAATGAGTAATTGCAATAATCAATTAAAAGATTATTGTAGAATCTTGATAATTTTTAATATTTATTTTTATTGTTCGGAATTTTTAAATGTAGTTAATTTATAAAAATAAACATTAGTATGTAGATAAAGAAATGAGTTATAATGATTAATTTATTATAAATCAATGTAAGTTTGTATCTTGGTGTATATAGTTCTTTCTAGATTGTAGTTTATTTTCCAATGAGCTATAAGATAATTGTTGGGTAAGGAATATTAATTAATGCATGATGCTAGTCACTACTTTTCTCTGATTTGCTAATGGTTTAGGCCAGGAGTCGGCAACCACTTTTTTGTAAAGAACCATTCTTAGCCTTTCATTTACCAAAATACCTACTGAGCCGCAAATCAGCAACTTGAATTATAAAATATATATATTTGAAATGAGCTAAAACTTTTTTTTTTTTTTTTGTTAAAATGAGTTTATTGAAAATGTGACAATGTGCCTTTCCAAGTCTGCAATAAACAAACATAATCTTTGTTTAAAAGCAAGTACTTCTTCTAAAAGCGAAAATAGATATATATATTTCCCTTCCCTTGCAGTTTCTTGTTTAGTGTGTTTAAATGTGACATCATGTCCACCTAAAAATAAAATTATTGTAACTAATCATGATTATTGAGCTCAATGTATTCAAGAATATTTTGGTTTCAAATAAATTTATTTCTTCAATGCAAGCATCAAATCACGTTAACATTGCTCCTCGGAAAAGCCATCTTACTTTGTTGTGTAAAAGATCAGAATATTGGTTATTGACTTCATTAAGAAGTTCACAAAATTTCTGATGATATAGTGGTCCTGCCATTATTTTGTTCACAGTTTGTACAACCAGGTTAATAACTAATGTTATTTCTTTCGAAAAGCTTTGTGAAAAAGTGCCTCTCAATGGATTAAGCAGTGAAAAGGAAAAACATCATGCAAAATTTGATTTTTAAGCATAGAAACAAAACTTTTCTTTTTAAGCATAGAAACAAAACTTTTCTTTTCACCTTTCATACTTGGTGCTCCATTGGTTGCAATTGATACTATTTTATTAATATCAATTTTTTACTTGTCAAACAATTGGTAACAGCAGATTCTTCAGATATTGTCACTTCGAGTTTGTCCTGTAAGTGGCAGTATATCAAGTAACTCTTCCTGAGGTCTGTCAGAATATACATAACATATCTACAAATAAGTACAACCTGTGCAATATCATTCACATTGCAAGATTCATTGCAGGCAGTAGAAAATCCTAGTGTTGAATTTAAATCTGTAACCTGCTGACTAGTTAGTATAGTCATCTGCCATATGCACAGTTCTGTCTCTTGCAGTCTTAGCGGACAATGGCATGTCTTTTATTTTAGCAATTATTTTTCTTTTATTTTTAAAATCACAAAAAAGATATTCAGACATTTTAATAAAACAATCTTTCACAAAATGGCCATCTGTAAATGACTTTCCCGTTTCACTATTTTTAGTGCGGCAAGAAAACTAGCAGTTGTTGAATTATTAGTTGATTTTATCCGATTTGAAAGTGTACCTTTACTTAAGTTCATTTTATGTTGAAATTCATCTACTGCAGGGGTGGCCAACAGTTTTTGCCCCCAGGCTGAATTGGAAAGAAAACTTTTTTCACAGGCCGAACCAGAGGCTGCCCTAGGAAGATTTTGAGGTGGTGCGAGATCTTATTGTGGTGTCGCTCCAAACAGACTAAATTGTACATAGAGATTACAGATACATTTTTCATATTACCATGCTTTATCAACATTCTACGCTGTACTTAAGAGATTTGTAATGGAGGGTTAACTCTAACCAGACAGCGAGTTGTTGACCTTTTTTTTTTTTTCTTTTAGGCGTCAG